ACGTAAACATGGCCAGTGATCAATGGCTGCCATTCATATCATTTTTTGTAAGTATTTAAACGAAACGGACACTCAAAAAAGAAATAAACAGTTTGTGCTTTCGTGAATAATATCTTAAAGTAAAATACTAAAGTTTAACTTTATTTAGATGACTGGAGTGATGATATTGTGGGTGTAGCTCAGAGAGGATGACTGGACAGATGATATTGTGGGTGTAGAGTAGAGAGGATGGCTGGAGCGATGATGTTGTGGGTGTAGAGTAAAGTGGATGACTTTAGAGATGATATTGTTGGTGTAGAGTGAAGAAGATGGCTGGCTAGCTGATATTGTGGGTGTAGAAAAGAGAGAATGGCTAGAGATATGATATTGTGGCTGTAGTAGTAAAGAGGATCACTGAAGAGATGATATTGTGGGTGAAGAGTAGAGGATGATTGTGGAATAATACTGGTACTGTTTGATACAGGTTTAATTTTCTGCCAACTTCTGTAACTTCGGTTGATGAGGTCTTTTAGTTTGTTTGATTGTCCTGTTTCTACCTGTAACAGTATAACTTTGTGTGTGCTTTTTGCATGTTATGTTAATTCAAAGGAGAGAATAAGAGGACATATATATAACGGATAGAGTTATGCAACCATGTTGTAAAATGGTGTTAAACTTGTGTACTATATTTAAATGTGTGATCTTTGTGAGAACAGTAGTAGAGATAATTAAAGAAAAAGAAGTGGATATTCTGCATTATCAGTAAAGCTAGTATCTAACATGTGAATACCTTCTTAGTGTAATAAAGTTCCAGTATTAGTTACTTCAAGTGACTTGATGATTTATTAATGTGGCAGTAACAGCTACTCAGTTGTCGTACTTGTGATGCCTCTTTAGGTCTGCTGTACTCACTACTTACATTTCCCCAACCATCATTCGTCACTTTGAACTCGAGGTTAGCCTTCAATGTCTCTATAACTTATGGGACAACCTTAAAAAGGACCAAACAAAACAACGAACGTATTGAGAAGACTTCTACAGTTAATCTTACTATCAACATATATATGCCTTCAACAGTGAACAAGAAACAGTATCAACCAAATGAGATAGAAGTAATGAATATCTGTAAATAAGTATCCGAGAGGACAGCATGAGGAATGTCTAAAGATTTGAATTTTGGTAAATCTTTTGACAACTAACAACTCAAGGTGACGTCATCTATTTGGTATAGCATTATTAAAAATACCTATATATGTATTACATTTACATTATTTTTCTAGTTTTTTGTATCTGGAATACGTTTTTGACTCTCCTATAACCTAACATTTATCTTACCTCCCATTTAGGCCTGCAGTTAATCTTACTATCAATATATAAATGCCTGCTAATAATCTTACCTCCAAAATTGGCCTACTGTCAATTTTAACTTCCTTATTAGTCTGCTGTTAATTGTAGCTCCCATATTGGCCAAAAATTAATCTTGCCTCCCCTTTTGGCTTACTGTTAGTCTTAACAACCTTATTGGCCTACTGTTACACTTACCTATGATATAGACATATTGTTAATCTTATCTGCCATATTGGCCTACTGTTATACTTGCCTCTATAACAGACCTATTAGTAATCTTAGCTGCCATATTGGCCTACTGTTAATCTTACAAATCACATATGCCTATTGTTTCTCTTACCTCACGTATGGACCTTCTCTTAAGTTTACGTCGAATATTGGCCTACTGTTAATCTTAACCTTACCTCCCACATTGGCATACTGCTAATCTTACCTCCCATAATCGCCTCTTGATAATCTTTAATTTCATATTAACCTACTGTTAATCTTACCTCCCACATTTGCCTACTGTTAATCACCTCCGACAATGGCATACTGTTAATCTTACCTCCAGTATTGGCCTATTCTTAAGTTACGCTCCCATATTAGCCTACTGTTCACATTACCTCCCATATTGGCCAACTGTTAATCTTGCCTCCCATATTGGCCTACTGTTAGTCTTGCCTTCCACATTGACCAGCTGTTTATCTTACATCCCACATTGGCCTACTATCAATCTTACCTCACACAATGGCATACTGTTAATCTTAGCTCCTGCATTGGCCTACTCTTAAGTTTACATCCCATAATGGCTAACTGTTAATCTTAATTCCCTTATTGGACTGCTGTAAATCTACCTCCCATATTTGCTTAGTGTTAAGCTAATCCACCATATTGGCCTACTCTTCTGTCACAACTTTTTATCAACATCGTATACTTAAAATTCAGAAATGTTCATTTTGAAACTCAAAGCCAACATGTTCAGCTCACCATCTTGACTCAGTCAAAGCCATAAGTACATATTTCATTTGTTGTTCAATAAAAACGTGTTTTTGAAAGTAAGTTGAGGGGGGGGGGTGGGGCGTGTTCTTTATAGATCAACTCAAGTTGCAGACAGCAATTGTCCTGAAACAGTAATTGAGTCCAACAGCATGATGTCAGCTGGCATTTTACCAGACAAATAATTGGGTTTGGAAAAAGAGTGTGCGGGGGCGGGGGGTTGCATTTGGCAATATTTCCAACGTCAAGCATCTAACGATCAACTGCTGTTACAATGACCTTAAAAATTGAAATAATTGTTCGAATTTATACAAGTGTTCTTACAGCATGTTAATGCAGTTGTGCTGTGAGCCATAAGCTGCATGGTTTAAACAGCTATGCTGTGAGTCTTGAGCTATTGTACTATGACATCTCGAAGGTTTAAGTTTGAGACCCCTCTTAATCATCGAGTATGATGGGACTTAACTGTTAACATAGCGCTCGAACTGTGCCCATAAATGTTTTGTATACATTCGTTTTAAAACTGTACACCCTATTACACTAAACATATGCGCCACGTTGCATTTAAAAATTGCGCTAAATATTGCACTTCAAAACTATGCACCATATTGCTTTTTGAAAGTATGCACCATATTGAAATTTAAAACTGTGAACATTATTGTACTAAAAAACTATACACTACATTTTACTTTAAAACTATGCACCGCATGGTCTTATTGCCCATAAACACTGTGCGCCATTTTGCACTGTAAAACTATGCACCATATTGAAATTTTAAAAATATGCGTCACATTACACATCAATATATTGCGCAATGTTGCACTTAAAAATGTGCATCATGTAGCACTATGAAACTATGCACCATATTTCAATTTGAAACTATAAAACACATGGCACGTTAAAATGATGCACCACATGGCACTTTAAAACTGTGTACCACATGGTCAATTTAAACTGTCCACTAACTAATTCGTTGTTGCTCACGCTTTGGGCATTCAATGTTTTTTTTAAATCTTTGATGTTTGGTTTTGAATTTTCAAAGGTGGATTTTAAAGACTGAGTAATATCACCGAAATGTTGTGTTGGGATTTATGGATTTACAACAACAACCCCCCCACCCCATTTTAAATTTATTTTGGTGTTAAAATAAGTCCACAGTATACCAGTGATAAGAACACAAACAAGAAAGTAGAGAGTCAGGAGGTAATGTATTCTAACACTGTAATACGTTAAGTCATATATTTTTCTTTGCATTGTTTTTTTACGTTAAATTTACTTAATTGAAAGAAAAAATTCAAGTTTTTCAAAGCTGCAAAACTGCCAATCAATTGATGAATTTCCTACAAGGTATCACTATCATTTCATAGTAGTGGTACATTTAAATCAGAATGCCCTTACTTTCCCATGGTGGGTTGCAAGCTGGAACTTTTAATAAAGCACGCATTCGGAATGGTTTATATATGTGGAAAATGTACGTGGTTTATATATGTGGAAAATGTACGTGGTTTATATATGTGGAAAATGTACGTGGTTTATATATGTGGAAAATGTACGTGGTTTATATATGTGGAAAATGGACGTGGTTTTTATATGTGGAAAATGTACGTGGTTTATATATGTGGAAAATGTACGTGGTTTATATATGTGGAAAATGGACGTGGTTTATATATGTGGAAAATGGACGTGGTTTATATATGTGGAAAATGTACGTGGTTTATATATGTAGAAAATGGACGTGGTTTATATATGTGGAAAATGGACGTGGTTTATATATGTGGAAAATGGACGTGGTTTATATATGTGGAAAATGGACGTGGTTTATATATGTGGAAAATGCACGTGGTTTACATATGTGGAAAATGTACGTGTGATCGGTTATGCTTTGATGAAATTCTGTTCGACTTAAACAGTGTCTGATGCAATTTTTCACTATGCCGTCATCCCCTATAATGGTGCCACCTTCTGCAAATGTGCAATTTTTATATGGCGTCAACTTCTGAGATGGTGCAACCCGGTGTGATCCACACCCCCACACGCCCTATAGCTACGCCACTGCCCTCAACTTGGCCTATATTCTAACCATCAAATCTAAACATTTCTACTTATTTGCCCCCTCCCCCCCCCCCCCCCCCCGCAGGTTTTATTTACATTGCCATCTACAGTTGCGCCTCTACTTAACAAGCCGACCAAGATTTTATTTTGCCCTCCCACACCCGTGAAAAGACCTTAAATGACGCCTCTGAGCCAAACACCAATTAAAAAATCCAGTATAGGTTTATATGCCACATATGTCCCAAATAAGAACATAAGAACACTTGAAAGATTCATATATCAACGGTTTTCATTAATTGATCTTTTGTCTGCTATAAAACAATAGAGTTTTAAAGAGAGATATCAAAATAATTTCTTAGTATTATAAAATTCAAACAATAGAAAAATAATATTATTCAGCACTACTACATATGATTTTTTTTTTTTTTATTTTTAAAAAATTCATAGAGAACATAGTGGAGAAATAATATTGTAAAAAAAATATTGTGTTTTATCCTATCATGTAGCAGCCATCAAATTATTTATTTCGAAACATGTGCGCCTACAAAGCGAGTTTTTAAAATGTCTAAACAATTGGTGAGCTATTATGTGCAAAATGTTACATATCTTTGTGCTATAAAACAGCATTAAATATGACATTGTGAAAAGACAACCAGACTAGACGACTGCTGGACGTCAATTGAGCGTTGTCTGACTTGATGAAAATGTTCAAGCTCATCCTGGCCTTGTCGTGTGTCGTCATCTTCTGTGGTAAGTTTTAAGTCAGTTTGATCTAAGACTACATGAGTCAAAGGTGATGGTAAAGTGAAAACAATATTTAGCATGTCATTTGCAATAGGCTGTTTAAAAAAAAAACACAAAACAAGCTACTTTGTTACACTTTGGTAAAATTTTATTAACATCATGCACTTAGTTTACAATATCTGATATGCCAGTAACGTACAAATGCTAGGGTATCAGAAAGATAGCAGGTTGCTCATTTTTAAATACAAACCCTACAAATTCAATAAGCTTATGACAAACTGAAACAGCCGGATCAAGAACCAACAACCTGTTCTGCCTTTTCCTCTACGATTCGTAGCTATATTATGTATGTCTTTTGGTACAGCTAAAATGAATGCACAACCAGACCATTGCTTCTACATCGCCCGGTCAAAGCCAAAGTTCAGTACTCTCCTATATAGCATTTAGGTAAGCATCATAACAAAACATGGTGTGACATTTCAACAGCTTTCACCATAGACGTCTGTAGAGTGTTCAGATCGTAACTAATGCACATAATCTAAAACTGATCAAAATTTGCAGTTTGTTGTCTACACTTAGCAAGAGGCGCCATTGTTGGCTGAATGCGCAATGCATAGACCATGGACACATGTTGTTTCATTTACTCGCTGCTGTATAGGAAGCTCAAGATCAAGACTCAAAGACGACACATAATAAATGTGTCATGTTCAGTTCAATTCAAAAACGTGCCAAAGTGTACACGTTTTATAGCCATTTTAATTGTTTCTATAGTATAGTAGTTACTATCCTAATGTCTCATGTTTATTTTACTTAGTTTACATGTTTTTAATAATTGTAAAGCGCTTAGAGCTTTAAGGTAAGCGCTATATAAAAATGCCTAAATAAATAAATAAATCAATACTGTATTATTAATTGGACACCGCAAAAATTATTATTAGTTACCTTTAGTTAGAGAGTTCGTGACAGTTACGTCACACTATTTTCTTTCCCAGAATGCAATATCGTAAGAAGAGATGGCGCCTGTGCTCAGTTGAGGGAATGCGTCCAGCCTACTGGATTGTTCGATTACTTTTTTAGTGAAGGAGATAACGAACAATTGTGCCAGTGAGTGAAATAAAGACCGCTAAATTCTTTTATCATTTAGTACAATTTAACGTGTTACATTATTTTTTTTTTTTTTTTTTTTTAAATTTACTGCATGTTTTTTTTTTTTTTTTTTTTGTTTTTTTTTTTTTTTTTTTGTTTTTTTTTTAATTTTTCTGCATGATTTTTTTTTTTCATCTATGTGTTTATTATATTTTTTGGTTGCTATTGTATTAAATGTGTGTGTGTCTGGTAATCTAGTTAATAATAACATATTTTTAATAGATAAATATCAGTCCTGTGAGTTAGAAAGCTGCATACGTTCTTCACTGATTTTCTAAATAGCGGTGCTAAAGAGAGTCAAATCATTTGAAAGTTTTTAAAATTTGTTTGCGTTTTATAATGGTTCAAACCTTATTCACTTCAAATTATCAGGATATTTATGACATCGATATGCTCAAAATAATGTCATTTAGAGTGTATATAGCGCCATAGTGTAGAGAACCTTGGCCGGGTCTGTTCTACCCTCGTTCTGAGGATGGACAATGGTCATCACATTTTCTATCAACATATTCTTTTAACATGTTAATGTGACATAACTGTTTCTTTCTTTTACGATCTGTTGTTAACACAATGTAATTTAAATCATTAACTTTGGACTCAACTACCTAAGGACCAAAATATCTGGCTTGTAGTGCTTGCCCTGGTATCGGCAAAAGCACAAGCACTTTCTCCCCTGAAGCAAATTTTGACTTTTGTCATACAAAATTTTCATTTTAGATTGTGAATCTTTTAAATGTGTTTTAGCCAAATTAACGGCATTAAAAATTTAGTTTTAAACTTGTGGACATAGTCAAGAAGTCCTTCGGTGGGTGTCGATGACATCCACTTGTCTTTTAAAAGTTTAAGGGGACCGCGAACAGTGTGGCCAAAGACCAGTTCGAAGGGGCTGAATCCAAGTGATTCTTGAACTGCTTCTCTTGCGGCTAACAGTGGCATGTTGATGCCTTCATCCCAGTCTTTCTCTTGTTCTAGGCAGTAAACTCTCATCATGCCCTTTAACGTCTAATGGAATCGCTCAAGTGATCCCTGTGACTGAGGATGATATGCACTCGACAAGCAGTGTTCTATCCCCAATTGGTTCATCACTTGTTTGAATAGTCCAGACTTGAATTTGGTTCCTTGATCAGATTGTACCGACTTTGGAAGACCAAACAATGTAAAAAACTTCATCAGGGCTTTGACGATGTTTGGAGTCTTGATATTGAGAAGAGGAATCGCTTCTGGGAACCTTGTTGACGCACACATGATTGACAGCAAGTATTGGTGACCTGATTTTGTCTTTGGTAGAGGTCAAACGCAGTCTATAATAACGTGACTGAAAGGTTCTTCGAATGCTGGAATGGGTTGAAGAGGAGCTGCTGGTATCTTCTGATTTGGTTTCCCTACTACCTCACAAGTATGACATGATCTGCAGTAGTCAACCACATCTTTCTTGATTTTGGCCAAAATACGTGTGACATGATTTTGTGATATGTTTTGTTTACTCCCAAATGGCCAGAAAGTGGTGAATCTTGGGCTAAGTTCAGGACTTCGTTCCGGAATGGTGTAGGAACTACTATTAGATTAACTATCCTCCATTCTTCGTCAGCCTTTGCGTCTGGAGCTCGCCATTTTCTCAAAAGTATGTCATCTTGAAGGTAATAAAATACAGGGAATTGTTCAGCTTCTTCTTCAGTTAAAGCGTTCTGACAAAGCTTGAATATTTCTGGATCACTCTTCTGTTCTTCAATAAGTTGCATTCGAGTTGGAGTCTTCGTTTAGACTGGCGAAAAATGTTTTATTCCAGGTCAATTTAAGGAAGAATTTTATTGCTTTTTTGTGAAATCTCTTTTGTGGAGATCTTGGAACTCATGGCCCTTGTTACAGCACATGCTGGATACAATTCTTGATCTTCTTCCTGATATTTAGTGACACAAGGTTCTTGAGTAACGATGGGTTTGGCTTTTACCTTCCCAGCAGCTAAGTCATTGCCTAGCAGCAACGAGATGCCGTCCAATGGTAATGTTGGTCGGACACCCGCAACCACAGGTTCTGAGACTAGGTCTGATTTCAGATTGATGCGATGTAAAGGAACATCAATGCATCCAAGCTCTACAACTCGTCACAGGATGTTGCTCCCAGTAGCAGTAGATTCAGACAAGGGAAGTATACCCTCAAGTAGCAAGGACTGTGAAGCACCTGCATCTCGTAAGATTTTGATTGGTTGTAGACTGAACAAATCACCTGGACATGATACGAATCCTTACGATATGAAAGGCACGAAGTCTTGTATGATATCAGTATTTTCTGATGTAGAATTTTGGACCTTTGTAGGTAAAATTCTTGTTGGAGAACATTCGGCTAGGTTAGAGGGAGTAAAACTCTGTGTAGAGTCATCAAAACTTGCACACAAGTCCTCAGTAAAATGCCCTCTGGAGGTAGACCTCTTCTTGGAGCAAAAGGATCTTGGCGACAAGCTCATAAAACTTGCAGTCGAAGCAGGAACTTGGCTGGAGTCAGTAAAACTAGCCTTATGGTTCATAATGGAACTCTTTGATGAGTCGTGACAAACCTCTTTGAAGTTTGTATGGACATCTGGAGAGCAAACACTCTTGAATTTTGAAAATGTATTTCCAGATGTATGACGAGACGTACAAGCGGAGACTTTGTGTTGTGTACCAGGATGTGTGGTCTTCTCAGTTTTCTTCTTGAGTTTCCAGCAATCATCCCTCGCATGTCCTTCCTTTTTACAGTAGGCACATGTGTCTTTTGCACTTGTTTCTTTTGTACCAGGCTTGTATGCTTTTTGTGGAGGATTACTGTAAGTCGATGCAGCTGCCTTATTGTGCATGTAATTTTTGGTGTCGGATGGCTTCTTTGAAAGTTGGTGTGAGATGGTGAATTCGTCGGCTAACACTGCTGCCGTATGTGCGTCACCTTCGCCACGGTCTACAGTATGCATTCGCACCTCGGTACGAACACAATTCTTGAACTCCTCAATCAGAATTAGGTTCTTGAACTTTTTGAAGTCTGTGTCGGTGTTGGTTGCGTGGAGCCACTTGTCCAGGAGTCGTTCCTTTTCCCGGAGAAACTCAACATGAGTCTGGCCATCACGTTTCCACAGTTCCCTAAACTTTTTTACGGTAGGCTTCGGGGACACATTCATAAGCATTAAGTATTAAGGATTTTACTAGGTTATAGTCCCCGCGCTGTTCCACGTTTAACGAAACAAAGACTTCGGCTGCCCTGCCGGTCAAGCCTGGTTGAAGTAAGGTGGACCACATAGTTTCAGGAATTTTAAAATTTTGGGCAGTTATCTCAAACTGCTCAAAATATTGTTCAACCTCTTTTTCTGAAAATTTTTGTATTACTTTTGCAAATTTAATTGCATCGCAACCCTGACTGGCTGGAGCCGTTAGTCTATTTTCCATTGCTGCCAAATTGGCTGTTATTTCCATTTCTTTTAATTTTATTTGTAGCTCTTTTTGCGCTTCTAGCTCCAGCTGTTTAAGCTCTAGTTCTTTTTCATCTCTCTCTCTTTGAGCATTTAGCTCCAATTGTTTGAGCTCTCGTTCTTTATCTAGCTCCAGCTGTTTGAGCTCTCGTTCTTTATCTAGCTCCAGCTGCTTAAGCTCACGTTCTTTTTCTCTCTGGGCATCTAGTTCCATTTGTTTGAGCTTTAGTTGGAGATTCATACCTGGATCATTCGGTTGTTTGACTGAGGCCAGTTCGTCCTCCGACAGCACCTCTTCATCCACTAAGTGGACGATGATCATATCTCGTATGGTCTTTTTTTACTGCCGAATGAGCTACATTTATTCTTAAATTTTTAGCAATTGAAAATAGCTCCTTTCTAGAACGTTTGTCTAATGCCTCTACTGGTGGGTTTTCAACATCAAAATCCATTTTGACACAGGCAAAATATAACACTTATTTTTTTATTTTAAAAAAAATTAAGTTTAATGATCACACTTATTAAAATTGAATTTAAAGAAAATTGTAACCAGCTCTGTTGCTGGTATCGTAAAATGGTATCGTGGACAAAATTTAGTCTCAGTATTTTGAAGTGAATAGTGGGTCTAAATCCAAAAACAAATACTCAATGTATTATTGGTGTAATAAATTATGGATTCAAATTATCCTCGGAAGAGCCCAATATTGTTAAAATTGGGGACTAATGAGAATAATAATAATAATATGAAGTCAATTATCACGGACGAGCAGCCAAATTTTGTTACGCACTGACTTTTATTGGGAGAAATTAATCTCCTATTTTAATTTTAATTGGCTCGCTGTAAACAGTGCCTAACAAAGGACGATACATAGAGTCAACAATATTAAAGATACTACCCCCAAAACTGTTTCTAGTTACAATTAATAAGATGTAATAATTCTTAAGATAATTACAAAAAAAAAAATATAATTTACAATCTTCAACTTACAGTATGTTGGATCTTGTACCGGTACACAGTTAATACAGTTAGAATAATGTGCCAATGAATAATGATGAAGTGCGAAATAAACACATACATAAGAACACAAAGAATAATACACGCCTTGTAAAGTTAATAATTTCTATCTGAATCTCTTTCCCTCCGTGAACACAGCGTCTCATGCGGGGTCAATCAGAGGGCACGCACGAGAAAAACAAGCTCTATATAACACTTGCTCTAGAACGTTACCTATTGAACTAACATTACTCTGCAGGGAAATTCCTCATTTAACAGTAAACTACAAAAGTCATTACTCAAACTTATTCGTGATATCCATATAGTCTTTTTTTGATGTGCCTTCTGTTGGCTAGGTTCCCAGGCTATGTCTTCCCTGTCCTCACATAAAGCATCCTTAAATTCCAAAGTCAACTCCTCACTCGCCTATTGTAACGTTGTCCGGTCCCTGCCCCTATCTTTTCCTCGTACATTCTTCGTCATTTGTGACACACTGTAAAAACCCTGCTTGCAGCATTCGTCAGTTAACTTGATTCGCGTGAGAGACAGTCTGTTGCATTTTGGTAATTAGTCAGTCATCGTACTATGGGACTCTAACCCACGTACCACCCAGGCTGAACTTTCTAGTTAGTCAGTCATCGTACCATGGGTTTCTAACCCACGTACGACCCAGGTTGAAATATCTAATTAGTCAGTCATCGTACCATGGGACTCTAACCAACGTACCACCCAGGTTGAACTATCTATTTAGTCAGTCATCGTACTATGGGTCTCTAACCCACGTACCACCCAGGCTGAACTATCTAAATAGTCAGCCATAGTACTATGGGACTCTAACCTACATACCACCCAAGCTGACGTCTAATTAGTCAGTCATCGTACTATGGGACTCTAGCCCACGTACCACCCAGGCTGAACTATCTAATTAGTCAGTCATCGTAGAATAGGTCTCCCACCCATGTAACACTCAAACTAAACTTGCAACAACGTTCTAACAATGCAGAGCTCTTATAAAGGTTGAAAGATAACAAAACAAAACAACACAGAGAGTTATCTATAGCTTATTCTCTCATTGTCGCTTTCCAGAGTGGTGGCTACATTTAAAAATTGCACTAATGACTTGAGGCCCCTATGCAATAATAGCTTTGTTAATGACGAGGTTGACAGTGCATTGGCGGGTGGCGAATTCATGTGTTCAGCTGACGGAATTCAAGGTTTGACTTAAGAGTCCTATGTTTTTTACAATATTAAATAGTTGAGCACACTCTTGAAAACTTTCTCTTAAACAGTATCGTAAAACTTTTCAAACAATTTTCAAAATAATAATACTCATGCTATTGGCTTTACAAAAGTACAACAATCTCCCGTTGATATGGAATAGAATCAAATAGTTTTATATATAATGATTCAAGTGTTCTTGTCATTTACAGTAATCAGTGCTGCTGCTTACTCAGATTGTATCACCAACACCACTAAGAAATCGGAGATGGGCATATTTATCGCCAATTGTAAAACTTCCGCTATTACCAGTGCGTTCAATACTGAAGCGCCATCTCGGGAAGTTCGCTATTGCCGGTAAGAACACATAATGAGTAATACAAAACTACAACAATTATAGCACGCCATATTTAATATAAAAACATCCTTGAATATAACACAATATTTATACTAGAATGAGCTTGGATATCCAATGTAGCACCAAAGAAACAAATTAATTTAAATTCTTTTGAATTCTGATTAAAAACAAAGTATGATATTGATTTTCAATTATTTTCATTTTGCCGAGTTCATCACAAGAGACGCCTCACAAGAAATGACATAATTTCTTATTCGAAAATATAATATAAATTTCAAATCTTAAAATTTTGTTGTTAATTTAAGATTATATTTTCATCATTTTTTAAAGATAATATGAAGCACAAGGGCAGGAAAAGGGGTACGGTAGTGTACGGTAGGGTACGGTAGGGTACGGTAGGGTACGGTAGGGTACGGTAGGGTACGGTAGGGTACGGTAGGGTACGGTAGGCAGAAGATTCAACAATTTAAAAACAGAAGATGTCTCAAGTATTTCTCTCGCTAAACGTCAGCCATCAATAAACTCCTATATTGCCTTAAATGTTTTAAATAGTAATCATTTAGAAAACGAGCAAGGTAAACGTATAAAATATAGAATAAAATCTCATAACTTCATGAAGTTAGGAACGTAGACTTCATTACATAGTTACTTCTTTTTTTAAAATACGGAATTTTGCCTTGGGACTTACGGAAAGCGCACTTTCGCATTTGCTGTTCCAACAATTTGGAACGCCCTTTCAGTCGATCTCAGAAACAACCAGACACTGGAGTCCTTTAAAACCGATTTAAAGACACATTTATTTCGCAAACACCTTCTGGGATGATTGTCTACCTTATTTTCCAGTTAATGTGTAATGGCTGTGTTGCTTAGGGTTCAAATGGCTTGAAAGACTTTGACATTGTATGCTTGTAATTAGTTTTTGTAGTGTTGCGTTTGTTTTAAATGTGGTAAATTATAGATTTGTTTTTTGTTGACTTTGTACCGTGCTTCGAGCCTTTTGGGGATGAAGCGTGTTTTTGAAATGAACTTTATTATTATTATTTATATTAATTCTAAAGAATTTTTACAATAGCAGGCAGAAATTATCGCAAAGTGTCCACCATTATTATCCAGATAACATTGGGTCATATATTGTAGTTTATAATATTAAACTACCATTAATAGGGCACACAATTCATAACATAAAACTACATTGAAAAAAGCATACAATTTATACTATGAAAACTTCCTCAAAAAGCATATAATTAACTGTCTAAAACTTCCTTGCATATAACATTCATTTTATGACATTAAATTGAATTTACTAGACATAATGTTTTATCCTTTTAAACACTAATTAATTGAATTCATGATTTATAATTTAAAAAAACAGCAATGACTATAACAAATACTATATAACATAAAACTGGATTGAATATATCACACAACATATCATGCAAAAGTGTCTTAGCTATGTATATATATCCACCACCTTTTATATACGTATATATTAGAACATAGAAAAGTATTTTTTGAATTGATTCTTTTTTTAAAATTATTAAACCTAAATAGCTTGAAAGAGTTTAACACTTATTAATGAAAAGACAGTTTTAAGTTACTTGTTGTGCATATTCAGCCATCTCCCAAAAAGACGTGTCTTGATTCTACATTTTTATACTAATTTTATTAAACAAAAGAGTATAACGTTCTTCAAATTTATGCAGCATCTATGAGCATGCTTTGACCTGTGCTACAAATTACATCAATGAAAACTGTGGTGCCATCTATGGCGCTTTCGTTCGTGAATATTACCGGAGGGCAGTTTGGCCGTCGTTCAATTGTGAGCTGGAAGCGAGCCATGTCCGTAAGTTAACCAGTGTTTGTAAGACATGAATCTAAGTTAAAGGGTATTCGGGAGACATGTGAAGACTTCAATGTAAAAACCATACATGTCACTTAATTTAATTTTTTAATTATATACCTTAACCAATTCACCCTATAAAATACGGTATCTAAATTATGGGTATTTGCAAAACATTATCTAAGTTAAAGGGTATTTTTAAAACATGTAATTAAATTAACGAGTTTTTGTAATTGCAGTTTTATTTTTTTGTAAGTTAAAGATTTTTTTCTAAAAATAACAATAATCTAGACAATGTATCCCACAGATAAATTGTATTTGTTTTTTAAATTTCCAAAACGACTATTTCCAAATAGACTAATTAGGAAACGTTGCAAATTGTTCAGAGTGATATAAATTAATAAGCATACAAAAAAAATCATAAAAACAATCATTTTCTAAAAAACACATAAACGCTAGAACAGCAACATCCCTGCCATTTATATCAATTTAAGTAAAACCTTTAAAAGTCATCCCTGCCATTTATATCAATTTAAGTAAACCTTTAAAAGTCATCCCTGCCATTTATATCAATTTAAGTAAACCTTTAAAAGTCATCCCTGCCATTTATATCAATTTAAGTAAACCTTTAAAAGTCATCCCTGCCATTTATATCAATTTAAGTAAACCTTTAAAAGTCACAGAATGTGTTACTGAAGTAAGAGTTAGTATTATATTAAAGATCTGTGAAATAGACGCTTTAGGGTTAGAGATTAAGTTATTTCCTTTAAAATTAAAAAATAACAACATCTTCCTACAATTTGAATTCAAGTATGTTTCAAAATTCGCCAGTTGACAACTGTACTCAATAATACCAGGGCAGGTTTTTTTTCAAAGGGGACGGGGGGGGGGGGCAAAACCAAAACTTATTCCGCTTGTTAAGTTGTGTATTACTGGAGGCACCACAGTACATAGAAATTTAAATAAAGCCTGCACATTCCACAAAGCCCTACCCAAATGATGTCCCTTTACCAGGCTGATACCTTTTAAGGATGACGATGCAGATCTTTCGTTATTCGATCAAACTTTCCTGGCAGTGGTTAGCCCGAAGATGAGATATCACGAGTGAAACATTCATGAGAATAAGACAATTTTGTTTAAAAAATTAAGAGCTAATTTAGTAGCATTCATTTCCTGTCTTTTTTTGTATTACCTACACATATATTTTAATTAAAGAATTATGCTGACATTAAATAAACGTATTTTTACAAACATTATGTTGACAAACTTAGGTAAAAGAATATGGTGTTGACTTTATAAAGGATCGTTAACTAAAGTTATCATTTATTACATCTGTTCTATTTCAGGTCGTTTTGTTGACGCTGTCAGAGTGGACCCTTTCAATTCCGACCTTCTAATTCAGTTGGTTAAAGGATTACTTTAAAAATCCTAGAAAAACCAGTAACTAACAAAATCTTATGTTTGTTTTGAATTAAAATGCTAAGTACGTTTTTTTTTTCAATTGTTTATTTTTAAATCAAATTTTACCATTGAAGATTTAAAATAAATATTACCACAAAAAAATTCTTGCTAAATTATATCTGACTATTAAACTTTATAATTGACAAGTTAAGCAAAGGAAATGTTTAGAGCCTGCTATGTTGAAGCTTGACTTTTAACAAAAAATATTAGACAGGAACTGGTCGTCTATAAGGAAAAAGTGAAATGGCATGTACCAAAGTAAAGAAAACTTACAATAGACATATACGCCGTTGAGCCTGAATGAAGAGAATAAGTAATTGCTAACGTTTGGTATCGTAATATGTTATCAAGTTATAAGTTGGTTTAATAAGCATTAATGGTTTTAAGGGACTTTTTGAAAGTAGACGAGGTTTCACAATGATGGATGTGGAAGGGGAGCTGGTTCCAGAACGTGGGCCCATGGAAGTAGAAGGAGCGTTCACCGATGGTCTTAGTTTTGGTTCTTGGGATTGAGAGGGTTCTAGTGTCAGTTGAAGAACGTAGTTGTCTTGTGGGGATGTAAGGAAGCAACATTTCAGAGAGATAGACAGGAAAGTGAGGGTCAGTGAACGAGTTGAAGCATAGATTGGCAGACTTGTACTTGATGCGAGCGGATATTGGAAGCCAGTGGAGTTGCCGTATATGTGGTTGAATGTGGTCATGTTTCTTTGATTTAAAAATGAGTCTACATCGTATGAATCCAATTAGCACGTGATAGTGTAGTTCTATTGCATATATAATTAGTTTTTGTACATATAAACATCTCTCACATCCTTGGTGTGCCACTTAACGTCACATATATTTATATCTGTCAAGACCTTCTCCCGTGTGTATTTTTTCTCATGAAGGGAAACAAAATAATATAAAGAGGCAAATATGTTGAAACAAGATTAAAATTTAAAAAAAAAACGAAATATTATTTTGGATTTTCCCAAAGTAACCAGTCTATTTCCATTTACCGGCCAAGAAATCTGTCGTTATTTTGTTGTGTTTTATAACTTTATTATGTCATTATAACATTACAACTAAACATTGGAAATGTGTTATATTTTAAAATAATAGAATTTAAAAGGGTATAAGAAAGTACCCTTGTTGATAGATGACATTTAATCTGATTAAATTTTACTTTAAACCATTTCTAGTCCGTAGTAGAAAAGGGAAGTTAAAAACAGTCTGTCACTTTATAATGTGACACTCTAACTTTATTCATTAAAATTGTAACTTACATTAAGTTTAACTCAATAGTGCTGAGGTTGGTCTGCTTTTGAAATGACCTTAGAATACTTATTTCACTAATAAAACTGATCTATTGAAAGTTATTTTGTTTGATAAACCATCATATTTATTTATTAGATAAAGAATGGTTTCTGTTTCAGTTTTGAAATTATTCTCACGTAACTCGTTCATGGATTTATTATATAACATTAAACGTACGTTTGAAGAAATGTTCATTAAATAATTTCGGTCAGTGACGTGGAAAAGGGGGAGGGGTAGTCCTTACCGACGGCTTTTTCGTGTGCTTTGTAAACAAAGGGGCAGCTTTTTAGTCAAGTGCAATTTTTTTTTTTTTGTGGCTTAAATATCGAGCTGACGGAGATGACACACATGTTTCCTCTAAGGTTTGCTGGTTCGTGTCCAAAATCATATGGTTGTGTGCAAAATCATATGGTCGTGTGCAAAATCATATGGTGTGTGCAAAATCATATGGTCGTGTGCAAAATCATATGGTCGTGTGCAAAATCATATGGTCGTGTGCAAAATCATATGGTGTGTGCAAAATCATATGGTCGTGTGCAAAATCATATGGTCGTGTGCAAAGGTTTACTGCATCAATTTTTTGTGTTCAAAATTTTACAGCCCACAAACACACACACACACACACTCACACACACACAAACACACGGAAAATATATAAATGAGTTAAAGTGCAAAAACTTGTCTATGAATTAAGAAATATGAATAAGTAATGAATTAACATCAGAAATGTCCTAATAGTTCAATCAAAGCTGTCCATATAGTTCAATCAAAGCTCTCCTTATAGTTCAATCAAAGCTGTCCCAATAGATCAATCAAAGCTGTCCCAATAGTTCAGTCAAAGCTGTCCCAATAATTCACTCAAAGCTGTATTTCTTTGTATTATTGATCCCGTCGTTAAGCCAAGCACCTAAATGCCAACGCAGCCACCAACCAATGACCACTAGTCATGTGATTGAATCATTTCTGGAGGTACTCTGGCGTCTGTCCTTCGCCACATTTGGTGATGGCGTCGATTGGTCGTCGAGCGCGAGTTCTTAATTCTCCCCGGCACACTTCCACAAGGGCTAGACGTGGATCTCCACGATGCCAGGCCATGTGGAACCAAGAGGGTACCCCCCCCCCCTAAGGCCTCGGGGACTTCCCGTCGACTGAAAACGCTGCATTTGAAGCGTAAGTTGTCCACTCTCTGTGGTTCAGGATGGCTTGCCTTCCAATGCGGGGGAAAGAAGTTGCGTTACCACCCCCCCCCATCCCCCACCGTCCAGGGAGTTGTCCGGTCAGGATGAAAACTGGGACGAAACGGTCTAAAAGGAGCGGCTTTCTCAGGGCCGCGTAGCTGAATTCATCGGTATGGGTTTTAACCGCCACACCCTCATATCCATTGATGGCAACAAGTCATTATGTTTTGCCGTCACTTCTGTTGCGTTGGAAGTCATCCAATTGGACCGGTGTTTTCGGCTTCGGGAGAAGAGACTTCCCTACTAGTCTGGCACCCCACGAAGAGGCATACATGATGTGATGTGACACATCTGAGACTTCCCTACTAGTCTGGCACCCCACGAAGAGGCATACATGATGTGATGTGACACATCTCAGTCGCCTCGGCGATTCGGGACATGTATTCGTTTCTTTTTGGTTGTAGCCTTCTTTTTCAATGACATATACGTATATGTGCATATGAGTAGGAGCACTTTCTTTTGTGGTCGATTCGAATCTGTTATTAGAATCCCAAGATAAAAGCAGGGGATGATTCATACTAAAGTCATCCAAAAATGTCGTTTTAACACATATACACATATATTGTTGAAAAACAAATTGTAAACATCAAGAAAATTACGAATAATATGATACAAGTATATCATTTAGTAGAATGTAGGTACATTATGTAGTAGGATACAGGTACCTCCTTTATATACCTGTAAGATACATATAGTTCATCTAGTACCAGTATGATACAGTTACCACATTTAGTGACATATAGATACTTCACATAGTAGGATACAGGTACATAATGTAGTAGGAAAGAGATATCTCATAAAGTGAGATACAAGTACCTCATTTGGTAGAAACTTTTTTCTTCAAATGTATTTTTCCATCATTACTGTAGCACGAAAAGTTGACCCGATAAATACAATTTAATGGGACAAAAATTGATCTTTTAACAAGTAAACGACTTCTTACACTTCATAGTGAAAAGAGCTTTTCAAACAGAGACGTACTCACAAAAAGGGACATAATCCGCTTGAACAACCTAGAAATCTAAGGGAGGGTGGAGGGCAATTTTCTCATAAATCCGAGTGACCCGCAGGCCGCGATTTTAAGACCTTTTGATCTGTGCTATAAAAGGAAAAACAGTGACGGGTAAATAGATATCTATAGCTTAGAGGCAGTGGACAAGCCAGGATGACTGTCGTAATAAATGCTGTCAAAAATTATTATATTAGGTTTTAACCAAAACCCTTTTGTGCACTCTGTCACGAATGACAGAGACTCATTTATTTTTTTATAGTTTTGTGTAAAATATTCCTTTTTTTTTTTTTGCTTTCTTATTACTTTAAAATATACAATACAATATGAAAATTATATTATCATTTAAAGTAGGCACACAAAAAACTGCAGACATAACAAATGTTTTACTTACTTTTGGTAAAACAATAGTTTAGATTTATTTAAAATTGTTACAGTTGTTAAATTTCATATTTTGCTTCAACATGGAATCAGTACGTGTCGTGAAGGTGTAGGAGGAAAATAATCGTTGAAAGTTGCAGGTCATTGTTCCTTAGTTCTTATTTATGGTAAAAAAATGTAAAGTTCCCGGATGGTTGTTACCATTATGCTGATAATATGCATACTTTTCACAATCAACCGTTTACTGTCGAGTCGTGTTCACATTTTGGGAAGGTTTCATTCATTCTCCAATTAACTTGTCTGACGCTAGACTCATTTTATCAACGTGCACGCCTAGATACACAGATTCGCTTTCAGATGCAATGAGTTGCATAGATTGATTAGTCTAGATAATGTTATAAAGAGTCAGACTACAGACCAGGACACACAGTGCCGTTATTCGGACCCGGGTCCCTTTATAAACTAAATTTTGCCACTTTCACTTTCCAGCTCTATCCCGTTTATACCAACAAAACTAATTTTATGCCCCTCTATTCTGCGCTCCCGGACTTATGTCACATCTGCCACTTCTTAGCTATTGGAAAAGCCCCCCTCACCCAAACCAGCAAATTTTAAATGCCAACCCCCCCCCCCCCACCCCCCCCCCCCGAAAATATCTGAAATAAACACTGGTTGAAATAAGATCGGTTGCATGCTGTTAATCTTTCTTTCGCCTCGGACAGTTGTTCATTGTGCTGGTCTATTATCACAATTAGATATTTGAAAGTAGCTACTCTCCGAAAGGTTTGGTTGTTTATATTGATTTCATCAGAGTGCGTTTTTCCTGACATTGTCATATATTTTTGTCTACCTCAAGACCAGTTTTGACCGTGACATCTTCAAGTTCCTTGAAACTGAAAGCTTTAATTATAGCATTGCTGTTTCTACCTAGTAGCGCTATGTCGTCTCCCTATGCAAGGTGACTGACTTATTAAAGTTCCTCATGGTTGTTCTTAACTACCGCTCTGGTGACCACATCTATGTTCCTAGTGCCCTTTTTCTGGCGTGACCTCGAAAAGCATAAACGAATTTCTGTGTTTGAGGCCCTAAATTAATTGGGAACTGCCTCAAGTATTCTCTATGTACTTTGATTCTATTTTTGAGTTATCCATTGTC